AATGACGACACACACCACACAAGAGGGATGGGGGACACACCAGCAGGAAACTGAGACAGAACAAGAGCCAAGTCTGGAGGATGGAGATGGCTGAGACCAGTGACTGAACTGAGAAAACTGTTCTAAGGAACCAACAAGGTTTTTAAGGTTTAATGGGTAAACTCATATGGCTAAGGACATGCCTGGGTTCTTCTGTGGCTATCTATGCACAGCTTGCTTATCTAAGAAGCCCTCACATTCACACACCTGCTTCAAGACTTAAGCATTTTGTAAAAGAATTCGATTTAGAGATGCAGGTATTTGAGCTTCTCAGATATTTTGGGCCTCAAGAGAATAAGGAAAACATTAATATCCTAGGTAAAAACAGGATTTTGGATATGTATGTTTCTTTCCTCTGTTCAAACAGGAACCCAAACACCTCAGATTCAGAATGGTGCTAGATGTCCAACAGCTTGGTTTTTACTCCCTGCCACTAACGGGTGACATAAAACCTCCATGGGACTCAATAAGGAGACTGGGATAGCTGAGGTCTTTTCCAGCTCTTAAATTCCTAAATTCTGCATAAACACAAACTACATCTTAGAAAGTTAACCACATAGGAACTCTAAGCCCTAAATAAGTTAAGCTGCACTCTTGTTAAGCCTCCAGGATTTCCTAGAATGAGAGTGATTCTCCCATCTTCTATAATAAGAGGAAGAGAAGCCCTGGGAAAGAAGGGAGCTAGGATTTCCACCTTCCCCTGCACACCCTTCACTCCTGTAGACCTGCCAAGCTGAGATTTCCGTTACCACTGGAGGAAGAAGGCACATCCTGTCTTCCTGGTCGTTCTCCTGAGAGCCAAGACATCTACTAACCAGGGTGGTAGCTGAGATTCAAACATGAAGGCTAAAAGTAGCAGCAAATCTTGCCTCAACCTGACAGGAGGAACACACACAATTTCTTAAGTGCTACTTGGTATAAGTCACTAGAGACCTTCCAATCACATGGTAAAAAAACAGAAAAATGAAGCACTCTGACCAGACCTATCTGGGCAGCCCAAATACTAACCTGAGTAAAAGGCAGATGATTTAGCTACACAACACATACAAATCGCATTATAGCTGAATTCAATCTTATTAGCAACTTCCTTGAGTTTGCATGAAAGCTTTCCTAGGCTATCCTTTGCAACTGAATGACAGTCTTAAATGTGGGAGGAGTTAATGCTTATTGGGCTGAAATCCACCTTTCAGCTCCATAGTCTATGAAATAAAGGCTGTGCAGCAAAATTCTTTTCATCACTACCAAGTTCCCATTCTCATCATTTGCATCTCCACAACAGTGATGTGATTATAAACCATTATTTCCTACATATACACAGTTTCTAAAACCCCAACATAGCTTTCAATGTAAAATTCCTGTGATGATTTTCTGCATCTTGTTCAGGCTGGTACCTACATTCTGACTTCAGGCCTCCATAAGAGAGAATTATAACCCTACAACTAATGTCTAATTAAAACATAAACCATGTGAGATGAAAACTCCTGCAAAGGAAAACACATTTAAGGTTCACTTACAGGCACAGGAGCAGCTTCATTACACCTATAAAGTACTTTAAATATAGGAGAGGCACATCCATGGCACAGATTATAGGTTTTCAAATTCTAAACATTAAAAATCAAACTTTTTAAACACAAGTGTTCTCTTATAATCTGGAGTGCCAGTCAAGACTTGTCTCCACCCTTAATGCTGATGCAAGACACAAACCTAATGGGTAACTGTTCTGTTTCCAAAGCTTGATAAGTAGGCAATAATTCAGAAATTAAAAATTAAAGTGCCTCTCGCAGCTGCAGAGTCATGATGAATCACCCGACACTCAGCTTGAAACCAGGGTGGTAGGTCCCCTTCCTGGTGGAATGCCAGATGCAGACTCAAAGGTGTGTGCCCAACCATGAGGCAGCACAGCGCTCTCCGAGCTGGGTGTCAGGGAAGGCCAGGAAGAAGGTGCTTCAAGTCTAACGTTCACTGCTGTTCGGAACAGCCAAGCACCGAGTGCTCAGAAAACAGCCCAGACATCAAAACTACCGTTAAAGATCAGGCAACTCGAAATACAAACACTCTACAAGTTTATATGACCTCTAACTACAGGGCTTCCTTTTTATTTTTCCTTTTTCAATAGCTGTCTTATTTAATCAGCCATTTAAACAATGTCTGCATGGGGTCAGGAAATCATTTATCCTGTTCACCACCGTTATCCCAGGCCCTAAAAACATACCTGAGAGCATAAGAGCTCAGTAAATACTTGTGGAAACAATAAAAACTAGCTCAATATCACTATGCCCACCTACCTTTACCCATGCTTGGCCTGCCAGTGCCTGACCTTACTAACATCCGGGATGTTTTAAGTGAAGCACCTGAAATCACTATTTTCTTGGCAGTCACTGCTACCCTCATAAAACACTCCGTACAGTTTCAAGGTGACAAACCCCAAAGGGCCAGGCTACACCCTGTTCTCAGCAGTAAACTTGTCAACTTACTACACAGAGGATGCACCACCCCTTTCTCAACCACCTAGTTCCCTACAAAAAAACCCAACAGTACTCATCCAAAAGCCCACATGGTCTTATGGGGCCCAAAGCTGATGACTCTCTCACCTCCTCGCTTCAGCTAAGTGAGGACAAACTCCTTCACAAAATACCTATCTTCCTCTCCCTAACTCCCTCACCACTTCTCTCCAGGCCCCTCCTCCATATCTCAGCACTCTCTCACTATACCACCCACCCCCACCACCCCA